GTATTTTCTGTCGCCTATGGTGAATTTAGCAAGCGTACGGTTGTTTGCCAGCCTTATTCATTAATTACAAAGTCCTATAACTTAATTTTCTCTAGCTATGGCTAGTATTCCTTCTCAAGGTTATTTATCCATACGTTCCGAATAGCGAGTTTTAATCTTCTTATCGTATCTTTTATTGTGTTTATTTTCTCATTCAAAGCAACTCTTCAAAGGTAATTTGTTTCAAACAGATTTTTTTGTTATTGAACATTTATTTAAATGGTGAAAAATCACGCTTTTTAACTTTTCCTTATCACAGGTATGCTCCTATAATAAAGTACCGCATTTTTATATAGCCTTATTACAATCATGCCAAAGACCTTTTCTACTAAATGCTTTAATAATCCGAATCTATTGTTGCAATTGTTGAAAACTGTAAACAGCAGCTATTTAGGCTTAAGAAAGAACAATTTTTTTAACGGAATACTCGTCCAAAAAGAGCTCCAATGATTTTGCTGTGGATATGAATAATTTTCATTATTCAACAATGTTCCTTATCCATATGATAGTGACGGGAATCAAAATTGCCAACCTTTTCTCTGTTCGTTTTTCCACTATTAAGGCTTTCGGATAAGAGCTTGAAACTTTATTCTGCCATTATGAGGTGCACTATGAATCCGACAGCTCGCTTGCCATAATTTGTTTGATAACTTAGTGCCAGCCTGGACTAAAATATGCCCTTTCGGAGGATGCCCTAGGTCCACAACATTATTATTACCTATATTGTCTTCTAAATGCCTTATGCTTATTGAAAAGAAAGCAAAAGCGCCATTTGCAGGGACATCTATATGCTATTAGCTGCAGAATGACTATTTTCAGTGCCCTTAATAAAATCATCCAAAAATTGGATTTACTTATTCAAGTTCCCTGTAGTTCCTATTCTTTCTTATACACCATAACAAAGCATCTTGTCTGCATCTATTAAAATTAGGTTTCATAAATATTAAAATGCACCCGATTATCTAATTCTTAATACGTCAGTAATGCATTAATACCTTAATCTATTGGGAAAATTGCAAGTAGGTGGTTTGCAAAGGTGGAACAGTAGAAACCAAAAGTTTATCATCCTGGAGTTATTTGTAATGGAAAATTAAAATATGATAAACTTTCTTAATAGTAGAGATTGCAGAAAATGTGGCGGTATCTAGCTCTGGTTGGTAGAATGTATTGAGTAGGTGGAACATAGTGAACTACCAAATAAGGGATGAAGGTTTGATTAGACATGGTTCTGAATGAAGCTTAAGTTCGCAAATAAGTCAATCATTACTTGCAAAAGAATGCGTTACGCCCTAAATGATCACACCCATTTAAATTACAAGATCACATTACAAATGATTCAGGTAAGGAGAATGTAATGTGCTATTCGAAATTATTTTGGAATTTCTTTAAGTTATATGATCTGCGACGAGTACTTTTACAATGTAATCTATCTAAACAACTAGTAAATAAAATAAGCTTCTTATCGCAGGTATGAAGACCATGATGGTGTGGCCTTTTGTGTGGTCGCAGTCTCCTTTCTTTGTATAAAAGTTGTTTGACCTTGTTTTCGCAACTCGGTCATATTGGTAGGAAGACTTAAAGGAGCACACCTTGTTCGGAGTCCATTATATACATGATTATTTCCAAAGTCGGACCGTGGACGTGGTACATTCCCAGATGTTTCGCCGGCATCTTCAGTGGGTTTTGCCATTCGTAGCACCATATTACAACTCGTCAAAAGAGGCAAGTGAAGCCGATCCTTTGACCAAAC